ACACACACACACACCTGCACCATACTCACACCCTAACACACACAGAGACACCTGCACCACACTCACACACCCTAACACACACGCACACACCTGCACCATACTCACTCTCTCTCACACACACACAGACACCTGCACCATACTCACACCCTCACACACACAGACACCTGCACCATACTCACACACACTCGAACACACACACACACCTGTACCATATTCACACATGCTAACACCCTTGAATCACTGGATTACTGAAAAATGACTCTTTTCCTATTGAATTGTTTTTAAGAACCTTAATGAAGCCAGGCATGGTGATGCATGCCTGTAATCACAGCACTTGAGAGATAGAGGCAGAAGATCAGGAGCTTAATATCATCCACAGTTACATAATGAATTTGAGACCAGCCTGGACGATATGAGACCCTGCCTCAAAAAATGAGCAAAACAAAACCTTGATGAAAATCACTTGGCAATAACTATTTGAGCTCCTTATTAAATTTTAAATGAATTAAAATTCAAAATTCAGTTCAGCAGTGCAAGTTCTAATTGGTATTAATAATAAAAACCCGGAGTCAGATAGAAGGGTTAATGCTGAAAGACCAGAGACAAAGGAGCAAACCATAGCCATTTACCTCGCCAAATCCTTAGCCTGAAAGGGGGCGCGCGCTCCCATCTCTGCCTGCCTCACATTCCTCTCTCAGCCCAGCCACATCACTTCCTGTTTCCTCCTCCCAAATGCTGGGATTAAAGGCGTGCACCACCAGTTTTGCCTCCAGGTTAACTAGTGCCTGGCTCCACCCTCTGATCTCCAGGCAAGTTTTATTTGTGCGATCACCACACTACCTCAACCACCTTAGCTCTGTTTCAAACACTCAACAATCACATCTGCCTGGCAGTACCATGTTGAATCATCTATGTAGCATGAAAACACATTTTCCATTTCGAGGTCCTGCAGGAAAGTGCCGTTGCTGACTCTCCAGTTTCCCTGGTCCATTCTAATTCACATCCATCTTGATCCTCAGTTCCCCCAGAAGGTGGACAGCGTCTCTAATTAGGTTACATACCTACTATATAGTTCAGTCTCTGTACACCTAGGCTGTCAACATTGTAATGAGAAAAACAGTAGTCACTGGCTTTATTATTCTTTTGAAGTGAAGGAAGTTGTCAATCTTTGTCCCTGTAAGGGAGGGACATTTATTCAAGTAATTTTTAAGTACTGGAATTTTACCCTTTAACCGGGTACAGCAGTACATGTCTGTGGTCCCAGAAACTTGGAGGATCACTTAGGCCCTAAAGTTTGAAGCCAACCTAGACAATACAATAGACCCGGTCAATAAGTAAATGAACATGTCACTGTCTTCTTTGTTGTTGATATTTCATTCCAATGTCTTTTGGTTTTTGTTTGTATTTTTCCTTGCTATTTCTGTTTTCCTATACCTTTCCCCCAAAATAGGAAGGACAGAGGAGAATTTGGTTCCTAACTTTACTATAGATTAGGGGCACTCTCAGGAACTAGTTAACAGTGCAGATTTTCAGGCCTAACCTTCAGATTCTGACTCACCAATGTCAGGGGTGAGTAACCTTTTTATGGTTCAGAGGAGTCTGATGGCTTGTATAACCAGCAGAAGGCAGCCTACCCTGACAACCCTCCCAACAGACTTCATACTTCTTTTGCTGAAGCTCTTTCTTCTAAGCACAGAAAATGAAGCACATTATTTCTGATTGTAGAGGCCTCCAAGATGAGAAGAGACAAGGAAAACCCACAACAGGAAGGGGCAAAAGGAGCAGAGACACATGCAGTGTCACCCGCGAGATCCAAAGTGGGTAGTCTGCACGGCCCTGAGCCAAGACGGGTGAGCACGAGTGAGCCCCGGTTGTCACAGAGGCAGGCCAGAACCCCAAATGCTCAGAAGGCATGTGCTCACTACCAGAGGCATTGCAGAGAACTGGACTATATCAGCAGCCCTCTCAGAGGCTACCCACTGAGAGAGTTAAAGAAAAGCAAACGAGGCAGAAGAAGCCTGAACAGTCTTCTGCAGTGTCTTAGCCACCAGGCAGCCCGCGCAGCAAAGAAACCTTACAAATGCGATGACTGTGGGAAGAGCTTCACGTGGAATTCAGAGCTGAAGCGACACAAGAGAGTACACACAGGAGAGAGACCCTACGTCTGTGGGGAGTGTGGAAACCGCTTTGGGAGGCAGTCAACTCTGAAACTGCACCAGAGAATCCACACTGGGGAGAAACCATACCAGTGCAGCCAGTGTGGGAAAAGCTTTCGCCAAAGCTCAAATCTCCACCAGCACCACAGGCTTCACCATGGGGACTAGACAGGTGCTGGGTGCTTTAGAGGCCCAGGGAAGGGCGACCTATCTCTCCTTTCCCTTACTTGCAGGTAAATCACAGAACAAGTGGCCCTTGGGGAGTGATGGAGCCTGTCTGCAAAGCTGGATGATCTGGGTGTTGGGGAAGAACTGCATTCTTGGCAGAGTGGGGACTAGTTACTGAGAATAGTTAGGCTGAGCCACAAGTGATTTTAATTAATTTAATCGATCCTTAATTAACTTATTCTTGTTGCTTTGTCTTATATAGTTCTCATGTGCACTCTTGAGCTATTCACTAGAATTTCAAGAAAACGCTCACCGGGGAGACCTCTAATAGTCTTTCTGCAATTAACCTTTTTGTTGTTGGTGGTGGTTTTTCATTAATTTTTATTTATTTTTGAAGCAGGGTTTCTCTGCCCTGGCTGTCCTGAAACTTACTCTGTCGGCCAGGCTGACGTCAAACTCAGAGATCCGCCTGCCTCTGCTCCCAAGTGATGTGATTAAAGGCGTGCGCCACCAAGTGGTAGATAGCACTTTTATTAAAAAGTTGTATTTGAGGGATTTTTCTTATAGCAAACTTGATTTACTTCAGTCCAAGATACAAGGAAAAGCTCCAGGGAGAAGTAAATACTGTTCTGGTAGACAGGGGAATCCTGCCTGTTCTTTCTCAAGTAAGACATTAGCTTTAAGACTGTGACTGGCATTTTCGATGTTTACAATTGGATTATGGTGATGGCTACACAACTCAGTGACTCCAAGAAAATTACTGAAATGGGTTAATTTATGATAAGTACCTGGACAGCACTTTTTAAATGACAGAACACTATATTTATATAGTGTTAGTGTTTCAAAACTGGGTTGGGGACACCATCCTGTGCCAAACTCTTGTTTCCTCAAAGTAGAAAGTAGAACCCAGTCAGTATCACCCTAGGCAAGGCATCCTCTTCCTCGGTCAGGCAGACAGGATGCATAATTTGTACAGACAGTAGGAGGTGACCGTTCTTCTGAAGGCATCAATACCAAGTCACTGCCTTTATCTTCAGTATTCAGCTTGTCCTTACTTCTTCCCCAGCCCGCATACAAGTACTGGCTGGAGCCTCTATAGTTCTCCCCACCAAGCACACATACCCTTCCCTCAAGGCCAGCTTCACTGTTGTCTCTGGGTAACTTCTGAGTCTCAGTCGTGTCTGTGTCTGTTCTATAGGTGCTGTAACAAATGACCGCGAACTTGGTGGCTTAACACTAAAATTTCTCTTGTACGACTGGAAGCTAAAGTCTGGAATCAGTTTCACTCAGCCAGAATCACCTTGGGCAGGGCTTTCTTTCCTTTGGAGAGGTGGATCAGTTTCCTTGACTTTTTCAGCTTCTAGCAGCCTCCGACATTCTTGGACTCATGGCTCCTTCATCCTTAAAGTACATTTTTTGACTCTCCATCTTGCCTAACCTTGTCTAACTCTGGCCCTCCTGGATCTCTCTTAGAAAGATGCTTATATTTGGCCTAGGAGGATTATCTCCCCATCTCAAGATCCTTAATAACATCCACCAAAAGTTCCTTTTGCCATTTAAGGTGACATTCGCTGGTTCAGGGATTAGGATATGAATGTATGTGGAGGACCATCATTTGGCCTACATACCATGTCTGTATATCTTGGGTCAACTTGGTCACCCAAAGTGGTGAGAAGGAACATAGAGTTATTTACAAGGGTTGGCATAGGGACACTTCCTAGAGTTTTGCGTCTTGGGATATTTTATAGCGCTGTATATTTCCTCTCTTCAGATTATACATCAGTCTTTGGGTACCTATTCGACTGTAGACCTTGAATTTGTATGACAAACTCACAGCCAACATCATTCTTTTCCCTGACACCACCTTGCCTCCCTGCCTCTAGCCCAGTTTCCCTTTGCATAGGGCTCACTTCAGACAACTAATGGGAGTAAGTCTGTGCTCAGATGTGGCCCCCTCGTCTCCTTTGCCTGTGCATGCTTCACCAGAGCCTCAGCAACAAGTCTTGACCGACTTTCCTTGCAGCCAGCTTCCTTTTGCAGGACCCCAGAATAAGAAAACAGCATTTCTCCCCTCACATGCATCGCTTGCTCTAGGCATGCCGTTGGTCCTGCCTAACATATTGGTGTCAGGTTAGGCTTTCAGTGTTTGATCTCTGAGTTACCCCCAGGGAGACCCATGGAGAAAAGAAGCATTGGCAGACAGTGGAGGTCTGTACATCTAAAGAGCATTTTCCCATCCACAGCAGACAAGGTACAAACCAATCTCACAATACAACTGTCCCTCTCAATAACACTGGCAGTGACTCCTCACAGAATAGACTGTAAATATCTCCCTGACTCTTCCTGAAATCGAAATGCTTCCTTCTTATTGCGTCACTGAAGCATTGCACATACCAGAAAACTTGTGCGTTTATAGCACACAGTGCAGTGGCAACAGTAGTATTCAACGCTGTGCCAGTGTCATCGTGAGCTCATGATAGGGCACTGCCAGTATCACAAAGTACTCTTAAACGTTAGCAGTCACTCCCCGGTGCCCTCACACCTGCGCCTCTGGATCCTATCGTAGGGTCCACACACACTGTATCACATGCCAGCACTTTATTCCTTTTATTTCCTGGGAGCCTTGCATTACATGAAGGGGCATTGAGCTCAGCCACTGGCTGATGGACGTTGTAGAACTGCACTTTGGCTGATGTGAGCAGAGTAATGCTGCCATGAACATTGATATTTAAGTTTTTATGTTTCGTTCCTCTAGTGCACATGCCTAAAGATTGATTTGCTAGGTCATGTGGTAATTCTGTTTAACTTTTCTAGGAAACAATCAAATGGTTTACAATGCACATTTTACATTTCAACCAGCAGTGTATAAGGGTTCCAGTTTCTCCACTCTAACATAATTTATTACTGCCTTTTGTTAGTTTGTTTTGAGACAGGGTCTCATGGCTGGCATACAACTCACAATCCTAAGGATGATCTTGAACTCTTGATCCTTCTGTCTCCACCTCCCAAGTGTCAAGATTATAGGCATGTGTCACCATGTGCAGTGTTCCTGGAATGTGTCTTGATTGTTATCCTAGTCAGTGTGGAGTGTGTGTCATGATCTTGACTTTCCTTTTCCCTAATTATGTATTTGTTTATTATGTTTATTTGCTTTGAAGAAATGGCCATTCAAAACTCCCCTCCTCCCTGATGTTTTGAGACAGTGTCTTGCTGTATAGGCCTAGCTGGCCTAGAACTCAATATGTAGATCAGGCTGGCCATGAATTTGAGATAATGCTGCCTCTGTTTTCCAAACCTTTTGAGTTTTGTTGTTTCTGAAACAGAGTCTTGCTCTGCAGGATAAGCTAGCTAGACTTACCTTGAATTTGCAGCAATCCTCTTGCCTCAGTCTTGAGTCTTAGGATTACAGGTATGAGCCACCATAACTGTCTCTGTGGCCAGTTAAAATGGATTGTCATTTTTGTTGCTGAGTTGTAATAATTCTTTAAATATTCTGGAATGATGTCCTTATGAGATGTATGACTTGCCAACAGTTTCTCCCATTCTTTTGTAATACAGTCTGTTTGTTTGTTTTGGTTGAGACAGGGTTTCTCCATAGCCCTGACTGTTCTGGAACTCCGTAGACCAGGCTGGCCTTGAACTCAGTGACCCACCTACCTGTCTCCCTAGTACTGGGATCAGAGGCCTGCCCTCCCACTGCCCAGTCTGTAATACATTCTTGTACAATTGTTTTTCAGTGGGGGTTGATACAAACTCCTGTGTGGGAATTGCTGCCCCGAGTTACATTTCCCTGCCCACCCATTTGAGGTGCTTATCTGCAAAGAAAACATAATAACTTCCCTCTGCTCCTGGAGTTGGATAAGGAAGTTTGAGTGCAGGTGATGCATGTGATCATTCATTCCTTGATCCCTACTGGGGTCAGGTGAAGGTTGAGTGCACGTGATCAGTCCTTGACCCCTACTGGGGTCAGGTGACAGTCCCTTCGCAGCCCACTCCTCTTTTGGTGCCGTGGTATAAAAGCTAGTCCCAGCAGAACAATAACGAGCTGAAGCTGTTCCACCTCAACCTCGTGCTCTGTGGATTCATTCAACCTGGACACCCTCCGCCGAGACTCGTGGTTCCAGACCATGCTGGCGCGGTAATCCTGTGTAACCAGGATAGCCTCAAACTTGCAATCCTCCTGTCTTAACCAGTGGGATGAAGGGATTATTGGTGAACACTCATGCCCAGCAGTACACATCTGTAATGAAAACAGCTGTCACTTGCCAAAATCCAAGGGACCAAATTTTCAGTTTCCTAATTTCTAGTAAAACAGCCTGACATTCCTATGAATTAAGAAGTTTAGGATCAGCCAGGCAGTGGTGGCACACTCAGGAGGCAAAGACAGGCAGATCTCTATGAGTTCAAGGCCAGCCTGGTCTACAGAGCGAGTTCCAGGACAGGCTCCAAAACTACAGAAAAATCCTGTCTCGAAAAACCAAAAAGTTGTTTAAGATCCTTGGAACACAGTTTATACCAGTTCCTCACAGTTCTCTGTGCCAACCATGCATGGCTTGCAGTTCCTAAGGGAAATTTAAATATCTGTTGAGATCGTTCTGCTGTTTAGGCTTTGGGATAAATACGTTCCCACTGAAATAAAGATGGTATTAGTTACTTCATAAGCAACAGATGTTGGTAAGTATCTGGCATACATTTTTTTTTTTCCAGTCATAGGGACTGAACTCATTTACTCCAGCGAACTCAGAGGTTATTTTTCTATTGTTGTTGTGATTCTAGGGAGAAGAAAACCACGGTGTTCAAAATTCAGATACTCTAGACCACATCTCATAGCCAGCCAGACAATTAGGATTAGGTCTGAGTCATCGTTTATTGTTTCTTTAGTTTATTAGGTCTTTTGTTAGTATAGTTTGATGTTTTGAGATGGGGTCTCTCTGTGTTGACTAAGCTGACCCCAAACTCTTGGGCTCAAGCAATCCTCCTGCCTCTGCCTCTTGAGTATCTGGAGAAAAAAACGCTTGTTATTTTTTTGGGGGGGGGGTTCTGTCTTAGTCACTGTCATTTAGTTGCTGTGACGAGACACCGTGACCATGGCAACTTAGAAAGGAGATCATTTACCTGGGCAGTGGTGGCACATGCCTTTAATCCCAGCACTCGGAAGGCAGAGGTAGGTGGATCTCTGAGTTTGTGAGGCCAGTGTGGTCTACAGAGTGGATTCTAGGACAGGGTCCAAAGCTATACAGAGAAACCCTGTCTCGACAGATGATGCCTCATCAAACTCCACCGCTAGATAGCCAGCTCCAACAATCAGAGCAGTGAGCAAGCACTGATAGAAGCAGACACCAGAAGTGGCCTCAGGTGCCGGCTTCCTGCTCGCTGGCAAGGCCAATGGCACCTGGTAGACATTAGCTCCAACCTGTACCACTGGTAGCTGCTTGGTCAGCCTACAGTCACTCCAAGGCCTGGGAAACCAGAAGAGAGAATTTACCATATTAGTTCCCAGCTGGGCTGGTCTGTTAGAACCACTGCCTGGTGGAGCTAGAGGTACTTGGTTCTGTACTGTTGTGTACCTTGCAGCTAAGACTGGAGTGCTGTCTTGGAATAATGCTAGAACTTCATACTGAATTCCAGGGAATAAGATACATTACTTCCTTTATCAAGTGGGGTAAAGTAATCCATTCACATTTTCTAAACTATTATCCAATTAGCTTTTTTGAAGCTAGCTTTTTTGAACATACCTTTACTACAACCTGAAGTCATTGACATATACATTTTAAGTTTACAACCTTGCCATCATCACAAAATAACATTTATTGGATGATAAATTGCACATCAAATGCACACAGTCACAGTTGAGAGACTCCAATCTAGAGCTAAGACCAATGGGAATGCATCAGAAACAGTAAAGCTGAAACAAACACAGAAAGTGCATACGGAAAGCATTAACTAGGCATCAAAATAAGTAGACATGGTAGAGTATTTTTAGGTTTCTATAATGAATTAGGTTGTATCCCCTTTCTCCGTAGTCTGTTCTTACAGACAAGAATCTCAATTCAAAGGGACAAACACCTGTAGTTAGCCTTAAAGAGATACATAAGTCATTTTTATATCACATAAATAGTTCTAATATATAAGACTAAAACAGTTAAATATACACTTAATAAACAAGTTCCCATTTTAACAAATAGTTAATGCAAAAGCAGTTTCCTACTGAAATCACTGCAACATTCAAAATAGGTTCTTTTTTTCATAAAAGCTATACCCTACATCTCCCTTTAAATACATATACAGTAAATCAGATTATTTAAAGCAAAGTCTGTCTTTTCAGATTGTTTGGCATCTTACATTACAGTCACCAGACACTACTATTTAATTTTTTTAAAAGAATTTTTTGATTGATTTAACTTTATGTGCAATGGTGTGAAGGTGTCAGATCACCCAGGAACTGTATTTACAATCACTTATGAGCTGCCATGTGGGTGTTGGGCATTGAATCTGGGTCCTCTGGAAGAGCAGTCGGTGCTCTTAACCTCCCAGCCATTTCTCCAGCTACTACTACTTAATTTTCTGGAACTTGAGGCATCAAAAACAAAAATGTCACTTGTTTTAACTGCCTGAGTTACTGAGCCTGCTGTCTTCAGGGTCGCAGGGCATGTGAACAGATTGTTATTTGTAGCAGCACAGTTCTCGACAAAATGATTCAACAACACAATCTGACATCACTTAAATATAAAGTGCAAACACTGGCATCTAACTTCCACTGGGAAATGCTGTTGTCATCAATGATGACAGTTTAACAGAACTTGGTATCCACAGAATCATATTAAAGAACTGTTTTAGTCACATTTACATCATGGCATCAGCAAAACCCATCAAGTTTGAGTTCATTTTTTCAGTACAAGTTTCCACACTTCATAGTGTCAGCACCCTCCTACAATATGTAGTTAGCCAACCGTTCGGAGGGTCAGCACCCCTCCTACAACATGTAGTTAGCCGATCATTCGGAGGGTCAGCACCCCTCCTACAACATGTAGTTAGCCGATCATTTGGAGGGTCAGTACCCCTCCTACAACATGTAGTTAGCCAACCGTTCGGAGGGTCAGTACCCCTCCTACAACATGTAGCTAGCCGACCATTCAGAGGGTCAGCAC